ATACAAAATTAGAAGCGCAACATGGGGAAAGGAGAAACAGAAGTATAATGACTCTAACTTGTAAATCACATTTATCTACTGAAATCAATAAATAAAAAAGAAAATTAATTGGCAGATTGCAAAATCCTATCTATCAATTTATGTAACAGTTTGTCCGCAAGAGCTCGAATAGATATAGCATATAATATATGCACGTATTACTAGCATCATTAATACGGAAAACCACAAAATCAATAACTACATTAAGTCCTGAACATTTGCAATAACCAAGTACACTTTTTAACATCTTAAGAAAAAAACACCATCGAGAAAAAGATGCCAATGAAAAAAGGAATTATTTCTTTCGCTACGACAAAGTCAAATAGAGACTTTTATTAAAATGTATAAATTATTCTTACCGAAGTTGGTCGTTATACATGACACTACTACTATGCGCTTGTGTTTACTTCATGTTACGGATATCCTTTTCATTCACAAAATTACTTCTACCAAACGCCTCGTACCAGCAATACAGATGTTAAACATAAATATTTTAAAACCTAACAATAATATACGAGAATCCAATACAAGCGGATAGAAAAAAATCTTTGTGAACACATCAATCACGGAGCTTTTACGCGGCAATGACTCAATACGTGGGTTTTATGTTTATGTTATATTGTTTCTGTCGGCAGTAAAATAATGTTATTCATTAGCAAGTTTTAATATAGAACGGAAAGTAATTACCATCGTTAAAGTATAAATTGAGTTACGGACCTCCCACTTTGTCACATGATTGAAGTCCCAACATAAGATGCTGTGTAGACACGTCAGGTGTTGTGTTTTTATTTTTAAATGTAATTGTATTTTTGGATGCATTTTTAAATATTATAGGGTATGTAACGAGGCACGTATTCATTAATAATGAGAAATTGTTTATGAAAATTAATTTATCGATTATTACTATAATCGATACGCATTACATAATGGACATGCAAGTGAGCTGGCGGTTTACCTAATGTTAAGCGATAACCGCCGCCCATTGACACTTGCAACACCCGTAGGGTTGTAGATGTGTTGCCACCTTTTATTAAAGTGGGCCCGGCTACCTCCGTCAGCAGACGAAACGCAGAATTGTAACACTTACACCCAGTTTCCGAAAGCGCAATGCAAAATGTCAAGAAAAAACTTTAAAGAACGTGAAAAAAATGAACTTTTATCCATAATAAACAAGTAAGTATTATAAAAAGAAAGAATCCATATTATTTATTAACTTTTGAATTGCATTTTGTATTTTTGCTAATCGCATAATAAAAATAAATATGTTCGCATAATAATAAATAACAAATAGGTAATAGAACACATGAATGTCCTTACAACGTATTAGGGAATTATGTTTATTTTTTATAAAAACTAAGATTTGTGATAAAATACATTTTTAACCTACGATTGATCGTCCAAATTGACAGATTACTTAATAAAACTTTTGACAGCTCGTTGACCACCGAAAAACGCTTTCAGAAACTCGATTTTCTGTTGATTGTCCGTTAATCAGTGACTAATTGCAAAATCAATGTTGTTTTCAGACGTTCTAGCAACTGAAATCCGGTTAAACAACGATTGACAAGAGATTTATCGTAAATTAAAATTGATTGCGCTTTCGGAAACTGGGTGTAACTTTGGTAACATTCATTTAAAAGGGAATTTGTTTAAAAGAATTTAAATATATGTTTGTATTTTATTAGATTTTATTTATGAGATTCATTGATTATATAAGAATAAATTTTCGAATGAATTTAACATTTCATTTATGAATGAATGAAATTAGTGAAACAGTTGCATTAATTTCCCACTACCAGACAACTCAAAGTGTAACTAAAGGGAAATGTAAAGATCGAATGAAGCGGCATTTAATTCAATTCATTCAATTAATTACTTCACGCGCAACAGTGTGTAGGCTCCCTTACGTGACGTAGCGCGCCTACGAGTTGTGAAAAACACTTTGAAAGAAACAAGCGGTACGAAAATAGTGCTTGTTTGTGTGAAAACCAACGCATTACGTATTTCATTGCTGTTTCCATTAGCACACGATAAAAAAGTATTAGGTACGTGGAACAAATTGGTGGAGTTATTTTGGGTCAGTAGCTATTATAAAGTAGCATAATTTTCAAGGATTAAATCGTAGACTTGACAATTTTTGGGAAAGCTTCCTTCAATGAACCAAGATTGTGCGAATATTCTTTATTAAAAGAGATAATTCCAATCTGTGTCAAAAGATTAATTGTTGTATATTACAAGAATGGTAAATAGAGGGGTTAGTTAGCCCGTAACTAGACTAGTTTTATCTATACATATTAGTCGCACTCTATGTTGGTCAACCATTCTCCATGCAACATAAAGTATGAAGTTGTAACTTAGTTATTTCACTGACCCAACAAGAGTCATTTCATTAAGCTTATGTTGATAAGACGCATTTATTTGATTTTTACTCCGAGATAATTTCGAAAGAGTTTCACATAATGCAACAAATCGAAAAATTTAAGAAAATGTACAAAATCTGTATTCATACTGTCATTTTTAAAATGTATATGTTATATTTTCTTGTATTCACGCGATTACACATTATAAATGAAACTAATTTTTACGGATTTATCGTGTTTATTTTTAATTTTAATTTATTTTAAATTTTAATAGTCTGTCTCGTGACCATGAACGCTTTAAACGTTTCGAAACGTCGGCAATTAAAATTAAAAATAAACGCGATTAATCCGTAAAAATTAGTTTCATTTATATGTTTATGTTATTTTATAGTTACATATTAAGCCGTGTCGTACGCTATAATGGGTACACGTCTACGCTACATTCCGCACCATTGATCTCTGACGCTCGCGTTTTATTCTCACCAGCGAAAACACGTCGTTCCGGCGCCGATAAACCGCTCCAGATGAATGGAATTTGCATCACCGGTGACTGAAATTACGTAGGTCACATCGCTGCCCCATAGCAATAATTTGGCGTGTTTATAAAACGAATTAGTATTGGGGCCGAGGCCTTTTACGTTCCGACGAATCAGCGGAATGATATTTTAACAGCGCACGAGCACAGTTTGCTGCGTTTATCAATTTTAGTAATGCAATTTGTTGCTGTTTTCAATTCAATTATCATTTAATATTCTGTAAGAATTTTAGTGGATTAAGTTATGGACAAATTTAAATAAAATTCTCATTAAAAAATGTAATGAAATTTTATGTTTAGCTCAGCTGGTTGTCCGTGAAATTTAAATATGATCACAATATTTTAATTGTTACATATAAATCAACACATAAATATACTTGAAAGTACAAATATGTCGAATCGAAATCAAACGATGTGTTTAAAAATAATTTTAATGTTGTAAAATGTTCATATTATAATTAACAACGTTTTCATTTGCACTCGAATCCATAAATGATTAACACAAAGTGAACAAAGTATCCTTCAATAAAAACATAGGGAAGACCTTCGAACTTAGACAATCGTTTTTTTCTTAGTTTTTTTCATTAAGGCCCCTGTTCACCCAGAAAATGGGTGAACAGGGGCCTTATTTTTTTCTTACATTATCTTCTTTTTTTTTACATAAATATTATATTTATAGCCAGTAGGGTTTTCGCTTGACTCGCTATGCTATGATTTTTAACTAAGCTTTTACCTAGACGGAAGCAGTTGTAAATTTGAGGGACTACGTCCAAACAAACCACCAAGGTCTGATAGTTAGTTTGGTCGTATCGCAAGCTTTCGGTCGGATTATGCCCAAAGCACCTCCATTCAACATCATTTATCATCTAATTCGTGAGAAATTATGTACGTACTTGAATTCATTCGTTTTCTAACGGATTTCAGGATTTTTGACGGTGCGTGCTTTGATATCAACCCCATAAAATGTTCACGGGTGTCCCACAAGGCCCTGTGCTATCCTCTATGCTGTTATTCTTGATGATTTATTGCACAGTATTAATATTCCTATTGATTGCTATTCGGCCTATTGGTGATAATGGTGGTGATATATATACCTGTTCCAATATTCCAAATATATAAACTCTGTATGGTTATGTCTGTTTTGTACTAAGCTTATGTCGTTATTTCAAGTTCTTTTTAATCTTTATTCCTAGTACATACTTTTCAAGACTTTTTAAGACTTAACGGTGGTAGAGCCATGCACCAGCCGCTGTTGCAGGAATGGGCAGGTTCATCCGGGTAAGTACCACGACCTCAGAGGAGACCGGCGTAAAGCGGAGTCGTGTTTCGTCTGGTGAGTGAGATAGCGGAGCCCAATTTTCAAAAGGTTGTCAACGCATCTGAAACCCTCTGGTGTAACAGATGTCCATGGGCGGGGGTATCCACTTAACATCAGGCGAACCGTCTGCTCGCTTGGCAACTTTCACATAAAAATAAAAGTTTAAACCTTCTCGTAATCGTTTCTTTTCTTTTCGAAAACACTGCCGTTGATGCCACAACTGCCATAGAAACTCTCCACGTTAACGAAATCAAGCGAATACATATCTCTTTATATGCCTTCACTTAGGGTTGCTCGAAAATGAGAAGCAAATCTCACTGAAGAGTTAAATTGCCCGCCGACCGATGTATAAGAAAATTCGGAAAATGTACAATACGTTTTTGGAACACAAGAACCGACGCTGTCGCCGTAGCTGGACATAGACATCCGCCGCACTGGAGCACAGAAACGCTCGGGATTTGTAAACAAAATAACACTCGAGGTGTTACGAAAATAATCGTGGAATGCCGGATATTGCGCCTCGGGGACGTGGTCCGCAGGTGGCTGGCAGCGCGACGTCTCAGTAAGTCAGTACGCGTCGAGCGTCCGAACAGGTCGTACGTCGCGTCGACGCAATACATAATACGCGAATACCGCGCGAAAAACTAGTGTCGAACGCTCGAGCTTTCGTAGTGACCCGTGAATTGGACCCGACGCTTATGTTATTGACGACGTAAAATACGCTCGATAACGCTGGGCAATAACTGCAATGAAAGTATTTACTGTAGACGACAAAACGATTGGAGAAGATATGCCAACAGTCGAGGTGGTAGACGCGAAACTCACCAAGGAGGAGTTGAACAGGTGGCTTATATATTTGATGTTTTTTAAAACGGTGAACAACTAACAAATCACAGGTTGATTTATTGATATATTAAAAAAACAACTGTGCGTTTGCTATGCTCAAAAATATTTCTCAAATCGTAGACATGGTTTAAAATGTGGTTTTGATGTAATTGTCAGAAATGTCATAAAATTAAGATGAACAAATACTAAATGTCATTTAAACGTCATATGTTTCTTACATGTTACAACACACATGACTTAAATGCGGTTGTAAAAAAAATGTCTAAGGTTAACCTATCTTTCATTTTGAACTAGTAACATTTTATCGGGCAAGAAGTATTATTTATTACTTACTTATTTTTATTACGAAACATGTTTCTTAATAAAAATGACTATTCGTTAGAATAGGAACATATAAAAAACTATAATATATTTAACTTGTGTTAATTAATTAATTTAGAAAAATAAACGTAATTTCTTCTCAGTCCTCGCTATGTTTTATTGTCCCAACACAAAGGTATCCCGCGGAATCTGAAAGCACTGCCAAATTAGTCGTGATTGTGAAAACAGTTGGTACGTACGCGAGCAAGTTCGCTAGGTCAAACCCCGCTGGACGCCCGCCAGAGTGACACAGCTGCGCGGAATGCGTTGTTTACGCGCCGACGCGTCGCTTGTTGTCGTGCGTTTGGGCGGGAAACCGATGGAATGCTTTTTTCTTTTTCAACGGCGCCATGTCTGCGACGCCCGCATTAAAAAGGAACGACCACAGAGTTTTATAAATAGCTCTTTATTTCTGTTTCGGTTAATTTGCTGTAAATTTTATATTTATATAACTAAACTGTAACTTTGAGAAATCACAACAAACATTCTGAGCTTTAGTTTACTCCGTCAAACTTTTCATTTAAAAGTTTGACGTAGTAAACTAGGGCAAGTTTACTACGTCAAACTTTTAAATGAAAAGTGACGTTCACAAATTGTTTCGACCTCGTAGCGTACATGACATCGGCACGAATTAACGTGACAAAAACCTACAGTAATTGTACGATATGATGCGGCACCAAAAATTTTAAGCTATAAAACTTGATCAGCAAATAAAACTGTGTGTCAGTATTCATGGTTTCATCCGATCACGCTCAAGGATTTATATACCACCTGAGGCATTGCAGGTGCGTTGCCATCCTTTAAAAAAGTTGGCCCAGTTACCTCACTGACCAGACGAAACGCTAAATTGTAATATTTCCATTTCCGGGGTATGTCCAATTTCCCATACACAGTCGAACATATATCTCTATGTTTCTAGATAAACCACCATATGAAACACCGATTTATTATCATGTTCATTATCATTTTACCTGACAAACAACCAAACGGTCCACTTGATCGAAGGGGATCGTGACAAAATGGAAAGGCCACGCAACAGTCTTCACTGTTGGACTAATGGATAGGTCCGTCTAGGGAAGTACCACGACCTAATAGAAGAAGTAGAAGTTTGTGCTTCTGCGTTTCGTCTGCTGAGTGAGGTAACTGGTGCCCACACTATAAAAAAAATAAAAGTGGGCACCAATAGATTAAACGTATCTGCAATAGTACGGGTGTGGCAGGTGTCCATGGGGGGGTTTTTGTCACACACCATCAGGTGAACCGCCAGCTCGCTTACAACCTTCTCACATTAAAACAACGCGTCCATACGCAAAATTAAAACGAAATCGTTCTATTTAACAGAGGATGTCCCCTCGGAGTCTCCCGCGTCACCAGCTCGGTATACGTTTGCGGGGCCCACGCCCTGCCCGGCGCTGTGAAGGCGCTCCGCCCCGGTCTGGTGGTGAACGCGGCACCGGAGCTCCCCCCACCGCCAGAGGACTGCGCCCCCAGGCATTACGTGCCACTGCTCGACACACCCAGCTCAGACATGCACCCCTACATGGAGAGGGTGGCCGACCTTATAAACGATGTAAGCGACGACCCTGAGTAAGATCCACTTCCCATCCATTTAAAATGCAACGCATGAAAAATCTCTTAGATTCTCTTAGATTAAAATAAAATCTCTTAGATTTATTATGAAGCCACGAAGCGACCACCCTCGTGTGTAGAAAGTAAATAAGCAAGACAGAATATATAATAGTTATTCCACTGCAGAGAAAGGTTATTTCAAATAATCGCAATTGAACATATACAACTGGCAGCTCATTCGGCGGGTCAATGTCATAGGGTGGGTTTTCAATGAGCTATCTATCAGCTCTTGCAGCTGGTGTTATAGGAGTCCATGTGGGACTTCACCGTATGGAAGAAATTTCGTGATAAAATATAGTGCATCCTGCATGCTGATATTTCCTCTCTATCCAAAGATCTAACAGAATGAAATAATTTTCTCAAATAATTTCTCTGAATTAAATGATAATTAGATGTTCATCATTTTTCGTAGAAATAACAATTATAATAAAAATATTGTTCCTATTATATCCCTATCTAAGCTCGAAAGATTGCATTCATACAGATCCAGATAAGTGAAGGCAAGACAAAATAGGAAAAATAGCCATTTATATCCATATCCAACGTATAGAGAATACATTTCACGAATAAATTTACTCTCATTAAGTCCGTTTAAATTTTGTTGACTAACGTTTTCTCGTTTTTCGTATTTTACGAGATATGTGCTACACTTTAGCGTTTCCCAGCCTAAATACCTGTCCAATGTTTAGGAACATTGCCTTAGCAAATGAGTGAAATCATTAGCATTCTAGCTATCTCTATCTTTTCCTTTCGTGTATCAAAGCGTGAGGTGATTACATATTTCATGCTTTAACGATTTCTTCGTTGACTAGGTGGTCAAACGGGGGCAAGTTGTGCTAGTACATTGCGTTGCCGGTGTCTCCAGATCCGTCACTCTCTGTCTGGCCTATCTCATCAAATGGGAGAGAATGACACTTAGAGACGCCTACCACCATATAAAGCAGCGACGGTAAGCAACACATTTAGAATTTGAGTTGCCAACATCTAATTTAGAAATATTTTATCTAAGGTACCTTAAAATTTCCATATAGTGATAATGCATCCACTTTTCACCGTAACAAGGGTTGAATGTTCGACAATGACATTAGGCATTAAGTCCGCCCATTGTAGCCCTTAGCTTAGCTGTAGCAATGAAGCTTAAGTAAATAAATAAATATTTCTTTATTATGCAAAAGGAAACCTACGTTCTTTCATAGTTTACGAAATTTGTTGGATTTCACTTACGAGCATTAAAATTTCTATTTAAAAACACTTTAATTTGTTTACCTTTTTTTACGTAGATATAAGCTTAAGAATAGGAGAAAAATGTTTGTAATTGTTTTGGTAATTTGAAAAATTACCCGCACACATGGAAACAAATTTTGATATATTGATTATAATAGTGACAGATTATTGTAATCATATTATGCGGAATACGAATAAATAAATGCAGCACCAGATTCAATTTATAAATTTTTGCTTGTACCTATTCACCTGATGTTAAGGGAATACCGCCGCCCATGGACATCTGCTACACCCGAGGGTTACAGATGCGTTGACAACCCTTTGAAAATTGGGCTCCGGCTACCTCACTCACCAGAGGAAACGCGAAAGTATTTGTCATACTTCCACTTTACGCTGGTCTTCTGTGAGGTCGTGGTACTTACCCGAACGGGCCTGCCCGTTCTTGCAACAGCCGAGGCTGCTGCGTGGCCCTACCACCGAAATCAAGTAAAATTAATTTAATCGTCAATTTATACAGTGAAATCTAAGTTGAAATATTTGTGACGTATTCTTTCAATTCTTACACGTGCTGAATTTGTATACAGACCGCAAATCCGACCGAACACTGGGTTCTTCAAGCAGCTGATAAAGTTCGAGGAGAGGCTGTACAGCGAGGCCTCCGTGAAGATGGTCTACTGCGAGGCCATCGACAAGGAAATCCCCGACGTGTACGAACCGGACTACAGTGGGATGACGTGGTTCCGCCAGCGATACGGACCAATAGAAAACAGCTGAGTTGATAGGGAAGGTATAGCAAAGTAGCCCTAGGATTCTCTTAACGTGATTATTAATACACGTATATTTGCTAGATAGGAGTCAAATAGGCATTAGTTTGAACTGGCGTATACGAAAGCGTAGTATGGATATGGTTGACAGTCGTTTGTAAAGATGTAGGAAGGTGGAAATCCACAATTTCTCCCTGTTCTTTAATTGACCGGAGTATTTGTAGCACGATGGAGTAATGGCGAATTTCACTGTATGATAAATAACTAGTTTTGTTGACATACATTGCCTATGTCAACACATGTGTGTATGTGTTTAAAACATAATGAGCAAAGTGAAATTTTCTGCGTATTTTGATAACAATTTTAAGCTATTTTGTTTGGTATGATATTGTGTTATGACACAATTCACAAGACTGATGAATGAACGATATCAATATGTTTATAAAAATAGAATCTCATTTGCTAAACAAAGTAAATAAAATATGGATACAGGCTAAATATTTTACTATCACAATTGTCTGTACCAATTAAATGACATTTTCAACGTGATGTAATTGCCATTCAAGTTTATATATAAACAATTATTAAACGCAGCTAGCGTGTGTAGGATATCTACGTTAACAAGTATATTGGTGAGACTCAGCTCTGTATACAAGTACGATTGCGTCTGGTAGTCATCAGCCTACTGACAGAGGTTAATAAATAAATACTGACACAAAAAATAAATACGCACCTATATAAAAAACAAAGCGTTGCAAGAGAACTGTAGAGCAAACGTAAATTAATTTTATCTCATTGCTTTAATCATGAATATGTTATGCATGACTCCACATAGTTTTATTCGATGTTAAATAAGATAGAAATAAGAAAAAAAATCTAAATATGACTAAAAAACATTACATATACAAGTAAAATTTGCGATGTATTTAGAAACATCATAAGGATAGTAAAATGTGATAATATAAAGTAACTTCTGCTTTTAGTTTTAAGTGATGTTTATGTATATGAAATGTGGGACCACAATAAAAACTATAAATAAGAAACCTTTTGTTTTTCAATCCTGTGTCACCGGATTTCAGCATCGTATACACACTAACGAGATTTTTTTTTAATTGCAAAAAATTTAAACTACTGTTAATTGGTATCGGCCGTCCATTGACTTGAACAATACCCTCGCCGTTTTTCTTGTGTTATCAATCTTTAAAAAATCAATACCGAGACTATTTCACTCATCCAGGGAGATGCAACATAATAACAACTTCTATATTACGACGGTGAGACCGTGGTCCTACCTCGTACGAGCTGGCCTGACGCAACAGAAACTAGAGCTCGCAACTCAACAAAGCCACATTTTATTTTTATACACGAAATGTTGGCACATGAGCAGGTGATTCACCTGATGTTAAATAATCGCCGCCGGCCGTGACATCTGTAATACCAGAGGCGTTGCATGCGCGTTGCCAACGTTAGCGAACTGGACTGCGGCTACCTCACTCACCAAACGAAACGAAAAAGTACAATACTGCCTTGGGTCTTCTGTGAGGCAGTGGTAATTCTGACGACCCATCCGTGTCGCCTATTGAGTCGCCCTACCACACTTAAATCCAACCATACTGTTAATAATAAAATAAATAAATAAATATAAATATTTACGGACACATTTTTTTACACAACGTGCTCTACTCCCAAACTAAGCAACGCTTGTATCAGGATGGCGCTGGCATCAGGATTTGAACTGTAGTTGCTCGAGTATATTGAATTAATCAACCAGATGCGAGTAGGACTATAAAAACGGCAAAACAATCATGTCTGTTGTATGAGAGCGCTACTTAAACATTTTTAATTCCACTTTTTAGTATTTGTAGTCATCGCGGCAACAGAAATACATCATCTGTGAAAATTTCAACTGTCTTACTATCATGGTTCGTGAGATACAGCCTGGTGACAGACAGAAAGCGGAGTCTTAGTAATAGGGTCCCGTCTTACCCTTTGGGTACGGAACCCTAAAAGCGAACGCCCAGACACTGAGCTCGACGCAGATAATAACAGAGTCGCCAAATTGATTAACGCGCACACGTTACCTAATTGCGCTGAAGCTACACAGTGAGTAATGCCATCGATGTTGTTGACCCCGTGGCATTGGGCGATTCTGACCGAAATACGCTCATCTAGGTTTAGATTACGACACCGTGCCGGCAGAAGCGGGGGCGGGGTGTTACGCTTGATTAGCACAGTTTTGCGGAGGCACGGCCGTTGAAATGACAAATATACATTCTATCGCCCGGAAAATCGAAATTCATCACGTGTAAAATTATAATGGAACAGAGCAACGTTGTTATATTCTGAAAATCGTTTCTATTAAAAACTAAGAGCGGTAAAAATGTCGTTCTTTTTATTTTTTCGATTGTGAGTCACACACATTTTAAGATTGGTTTTCGTTAGATGAGACGGTACATTGTTACCGTCACGTGTTAGGTTATTGATGTAGTGTTGTAGATACCCTTACGCCAACTCGTTTTCCAAATTTTAGCATTACAAAAAACCGGCCAAATGCGAGTCGGACTCACGTACGAAGGGTTCCGTACCATTATCTGTAAGTTTTTTTGTATGGAAGCCACACTAAAATATTTTTTTATTCTGTATTTAGTTGTAGTTGTAGTTTAGCAGTAGTTAGTTATTTAGTATTTGTTGTTATAACGGCAACAGAAATACATCATCTGTGAACATTTCAACTGTCTTACTATCACCGTTCATGAGATACAGCATGGTGACAGACAGACAGACAGACAGACAGCGGAGTCTTAGTAATAGGGTCCCTTCCTTTTGGGTACGGAATCTCAAAAATACGAAAAGAACAAACAACGTGCAACAAGCACTCGTAGCTTTTGTCGTAATCCAAACTTAAGGCAGAAACATCACAAAGTCAAAGTCAAAGTATACTTATTCAATATAGGCCTAACTTAAGCTTTTATTGAACGTCAACAAAAAATCTACCACTGGTTCACTAAACTAGACCTGCACAGAGAAGACCCGGCAAGAAACTCTGCGGTCTTGTTCTTTTTGTTATTTTTTTTGTATGCAATTATACACACTTATTTAGGTACAAAATCAGCAGCAGCCAGGGGTCTTGCAAGTGCAGAGCAAGAGTCATTTCCAAGCACCGCTAGCAGATTCTCAATTTCTACGCGCTCTCCTACGCAGTGCTTAACTCACGATCCCTGAAAATGCCCTTCCTGTGTGCGGTGAGATAGCAGCTGAAAATAGTTCGCGCTCGTATTGTGAATGTTTTGGTGCTTGTAACAAAGAAACATGCCGCTTGTTAGAACTCCCCCAAGCGTGTAGGAACGAGGAAGTTGGTACAGAATATTTCAGGGATTTTCCGTTCGATAAACACAAACATCCACGTGTTAAATCTCTGGAGAGGAAAACAGAGATTTGTGATGCTAACCAATAATAGTGTGTGTTGGCCTCGAATTTATTTTACGCCAAAGTTAAGTTTGTAATTTCATAGAAGGCGAATAGGTGAATTGTAATGTTCCAAGAGAATTTGATTTCACCATATTAGTTCCATGTATTTCATAGAAATCTGGTAAATATCAATATTATGTCAAAATTTCAAAATTTTCAAAATGAAATATGTTTGTTAGAGTTATTTTTATGGTAATTATTTACAATAGGATGATCAAAGTTATTCATTTACAAATTATTTTTAAAATTAGGAAAACATAAGCGAACTTATAATAAGGAAGTAAAAATTTTCGCCGACATTTAGATTTTGAGAAAAATATTAATACATTTTGTAAATAATTACACTTCAGTTTTTAATCATGTGTGAAGCAGGAGGGTCATTTAGTATATAAATCCCACTTTAACGATGTTATGATGTTATTGGTGATTTAAATTAGTATGTTATGTATGTATGTATGTATGTATATGTTAAATAAAATTTAATAGGCGACGGATACATAATCGAGTTTTTCTGGTCAGTGAGGTGGCCATAGATCTTCTCTATTAAAAGTATGGAAAGTACCTTTGGGTGTTACGGAAACCATGGTTTTACGTTCAAGATTTGATTGCTTACTGTATCGGCGTTATCAATAACAATAATCTTTAACAGTCCTTACGACGAATTTATTATGTAATAATTTTATTCTTACTGAACACGATAAAATTCTTAAACAGTTATGTGATCATATCAAAATAAATCATTGAGAAATTTAAGAGAAATTTTTGGGAAGGCGAAGACACTTCGAGACACACTAGTGCGAAGTAACCGCCATAAAATATCCATCTGAATGGTATCTTTAGATAATAAAACGTAGACAAGGTCGAACATAACCCCTCCGTCATTAAAACACAATGAAACGGAAAGGATGAGAATACACAGCCACAGCTGATGTCATAGTCTAGCTATGTTTTAAAAAAAATGCGGAAAAAACTAAAAGCCCCGTTAGTAATTAGCCAAAAGTTTTTATGACCCGTACAGAAATACCGTCTCGACAGATTGTTCTCACCTGACCGTTGAAATAATACTCTGAACACTCAACTTGGTTTCTTGCCAGGATTGGTCTTTGAATATGAGTGACACAAGAAAACATACGAACACAAGTACCCTTAGAACAATGCACTCAGTCATTATCGATAATTTTCTTTAAAACACAGTAAATAAGGTTTCAATTGTAATCACCATTTTTCCTAAGCTGTCAAAAGTTTTGCCAAAACACCTGATGGCTGCCGCCGAGTTTTGTCGGCAATAACAATTCTCAAGTTCAATGCTACCGCTAATTACGCCAGCGCCCACGCACGCTACTCTTCGGATTCTAAGAAACTCAAGAATGACGAGATTTGAAAAAAAATGGTGAATAAAGAATTAGGCAATAAATAATCTGTGTAATCCAAACATGTTAAAAACGAAACGTCAAAAATGACATATCAACAGGTTAGCTACACAGTTAGCTGTACAAAGTAAAGCCAATTTTAACTTTTCTCGATAGCGCCCTTTCATAT